GAGGGCCGCGGGGCGCCGGCTCGGGGGTTGCAGGAGGATCGCCTCGCAGCAGCCGCCGTCGCCGAGAGCTGTTGCCTTTAAACCGGAGTATTTACATTTCTGGCCCGACAAATGGCAGCGTGTAAGCACATCCCTGCCCCGGCAGGGAGCCTCGCTGACTGGAGCTGCAGGGGCACGGTGGCCGGCCGCAGCCAGTCAGCTGAAGCTCCTTTGCATTAAAACCTGAGTTTTAATACCAACGAGCTAATAAAGCATTTTAATAAATACTTTTCCCATAAACACGTGAATTAAGTGCTTCCCAGTGCATGCACACAATGCAGATCGCTGTTCCCCAGATGGCTCGGTCAATGTTTTAAGCTGGTTGTAATAATTAGACATGTAACGCTGAAATGTTTGTAGCTCGGAAGATGAGGTGGATGTGCTTTTACATGGCACTCCTGACCAGAAGCGGAAGCTGATTCGGGAGTGCCTGACTGGGGAGAGCGAGTCTTCCAGTGACGATGAGTTCCAAAAGGAGATGGAAGCGGAACTGAACACTACCATGAGGACTATGGAAGGCAAATGGAAATTACCAGAAATGGGTAAATCACACTTAACATCTGCTTGCATATGGCATTGTGAGTTAAGTGTTGTCCAGTTAAGGTGTGAAGTTAATGTATTATTCTTGGGGTTAGAGGTGTGTGTGGTGACATTCCAGTGCCATTTGAAGGCTACAGAAAACCTTAAAATGACTGATCACTTTTGCAGAAACAGTCACTAGGTGCCATTTCAGTGAATGCCTCTGTTTCATCTTTTCTAAGACTTGGATTTTGGTGTTTCTGAACTTCTGATTTCCTGCTTTAATATGATTTCTCTTTGTTGGGTCAGTCCCCTTTTTTCCAATATCTCTATGACTTCTGTTTTAAGTTGTTCTTTCATTGTATTTAGAATTCTCTTGAGCAAGTTGCCGTCTCTCGTACTTTGTCCAGTGGCTCCTGATGCTTTCAACATTTGGAGCCCTTTCTTGAAGAAAGGAGTAGCATATGGTAGAATGAGATCCCGAATCTGGGAAAAACTCAGGAAAAATGTTACTCTCCCTTACCTGCTTATAATTGCATGTTACATCAAATAGTAAAACTGTACTAAAGATCTATGTGTTATGGTGTTTGTGTACTATGGGTGCAATAGATGGGTTGCTTTGGCATTTGAAGAGCATGCGTTCTTTTTACCTGTTACAAAACACCTAGTGAAATGTTTTTAATTTCCTGGAGGGTCAACATAATACTCACTTGCAGGGACTTGACTCTGCATTCAGCAGGTTTAGTAGTTTTTACTGTGTAAGTGGGCAAGTCTGATCTGTAGGTTTTACTCGTGCAATTAAGGTGATATAGTGATAGTGTAGTGTAGTGTAGTGATACCACCACGTCCATCCAGCACCTAATAGGATTTTTGGTGCAGACTGGCTGCGACAGATGTGCTTGACAATTCATCTAGGTCTTTTTTGAACTTCTGTGGCCCTGAAATTTTTTAGTGAATTTTATTGTAATCAAAGTTTGTGAAACAATGTTCCGTACCTGTATTTCTTTCACAAGACTGAAGATTTGTGAAGTGTCTGAGATTCTGTGGGTTATACAGGGCAGAGACAGGCATGTTTGATGTGTCATCCTCTGTGCCTAAAGGGAGGGTTACCTTGGGAGAAACTTTCCTTTGAACTGTACCTGAGGTTCATCTCAGAGGGATTGAGAAGTTTTGCTCTGAGAGGACCTGTAAATGAAGTAACACAAGCGATGGGGATGATCAAGATGTGTGAGTAAATTGGGAGAGATGTTACTTAACGCACCCAGATAAAGCAGAGCACTTCTGGATAGAGTAAACATGAAAGTGAAGGTTTGTTCTTGGCTGTATACTTGCTGTCCTTTTGGTGGGGCATTCTTACCACTTCTCTCTGATTTCAATCATAGGTACTTCCTCAAGTACTGGGCAAACTGGACCTGCCACGACTTCAAAATACTATGATGACATTTACTTTGATTCTGATTCAGAGGATGAAGATAAAATAGGTAAACGGCTGGGGAGAGGAGAGAGGAGGACATCTTTACAGTAGCACTCTCAGATCCTGTAGAATCCTCTTGGGGGGGTCAAGGGGCTGTTGCTGAAGGCAGCCTTTTGGGGGGAATTGCCAACCATTATCATCTCAATGTGGTTCCCACAACTTTATGATGTATCCCAATGTATGTAAGGTGGGTTAATGCTTTGGGGTGGTGCGTGTGCGGGAGAGATGAGCTAGACCTTTATGTTTTGGTTTAGATTTACTGCGAGTATGGAAAAGGAAAACTGAAAAATTGATGTTTTGATTTTTTAAGTAGAGAATCATCATATGTCTGATGGATGTAACATCTTTTCAGTTACACAGGACGTCCGGAAAAAGAGAAAACATCAGCAACGTCGGATTCTTTCCAATGATGAACTGCTCTATGACCCAGAAGAAGACAATAGAGACCAAGAGTGGGTAGACTCACAGAGAAGGGGGTAAGAGACCATAAATATTTGAATTGCAGGATGCTTAACAAAAACTGAAAAAGTTAAATTAAAATGGTGAATCTAGAGATAAAGCCTACGCTGTCAAGTTCATGCAGTGGAAATATTAGTTATTTAGAATTTACAGCATATGAAACTTAATAAGCCTGTAAAATTTTTATGTGTATGTAATGGAATTTGAGTCTTTAAAATTACACAGTTCTAAAATTTGCAATGCTTTAAAATCAAGACTTCTAGTCCTGTAAGCCCGTTTTGTCTGTAGATCTCATCTAAATAACCATGCTGTGAATGAAAAGGTTGTGAGATACTTTGATTGCTAAATTAATATCTATTCCTGCTAAATACTGTATTTCTAGTTTTGGAAAAATTAGAATTTAGTGAGCCACAAAATATTCAGATAAAACAGCACAAAGCTGATTTACTGAGGGTTTTTTGAAGGGTTAAGTAGAAAAACAGTTGTTGCAGAAGTAAAATTATCCATGTAAATGTGTTGAAAAGGATAATATTAATTGCCTGAGGAGATTGCACTTGGATACCTGCCTTGTCAGAGGAGGGGTTTATTAGGCACAAATTCTCATGCCAGAAGTATTCATCTCACCAAATGAAAATTCTCCGTACAAAGTAAATGAAAAGATGCTGATATGTGGGTTTGCCCCCCCCATTTATTTATTGATGTGCTTTGCGTTACTGAAAAAGGTCCAAGGAGCCAAATATTAGTTCGTGTATATTAATATAAAAAAGGTTTGACAGTTAAATTGATATGCTCGACAGCAAGGGCACGTAATTTCACTTTTTGTCTCTCCTTCCTCCTTTCTTGAATCCGTAGGTACCGTAATCAAAGAAGAGTGCCGCAGCAGCAGCCAAAACCTTCAGCTGTTCCAAACAGTGATGCTGTTTTGAATTGCCCTGCTTGCATGACAACATTATGCCTGGACTGCCAGAGGTAATTAGTGGACAATGAGGGGTCTTTTCGTGGTGTTTTTTTCCCAGCCAATAGTATTTTTAATGTATTTGATTTGATCAATTGATGTGATCAAGTCTGTCTTTCAAGGTGGTACTAATAAAGAGAAGGCAGGTGTATATGTGTGAATCGGAGTTAGGGGTGAATGCTAGTTTGTAAGAATGATGATCAGTTTAACCTGCAACACGGAGGTGAGGAAGAACAGGGTAGAACTAGCATAGTGGAGAAGGTAAACTATTTTAAAAAATCATGGAGACTAAACAGGTAGTTCAGGCTGATTTTTTCATTTTTACTTTTTAAATATGTTGGCTTGATGATTAGAGGCATAAAATTATTCCAGGTTATTTTTGCGTAAAAGTGCCTTGTTTAGGGCAGGATTAAACAAAATCAAGATAGTGTATTCTTACTTGGTTTGAGTCTTAGCCGTTGTGGTTTTGAGTATAGTTACATTTAAAAGTGCCTGGAAAGCATTTAGGTTAGAATCCACAGCCTGTTTTGCAGCCCTCCAGTATCTGACTGCACTGCAAACCTAATTAGTGCTGCTAACCTGTGCTAAGGAGAGGACTCTTGAGCTGGGAGTAAAGGAGAAGGAAATCTTGTGAAATGAGGAATAAATTACCTCTCATTTATTGAGTATTTATGGTGATTGAGGATGAAATTCCATGGCAGCCTAAAATCATCTAAGTACTTGGTGCTGTTGCTCACTCTCTTCCCTTTGCTGGCTCTGGTACTCCTTGACCCTGTTCTATAGCTAAGTATTTCAGTTTGCTAAGCTGACAGAAAACCGTCCATTTTTATTGTCAGACCGGTCTTTTGTGAGTTTAATAAACTGAAATAGCTCAGCACAGCGTTTTACAGGCAGTAAAGCCAGCAGAAGTCGAGATAGGACTTCTGCAGCCACCTGTTATATTGGTTTAAGCTGGTGTAAAACTGCAGCCTGAGGGACATTGTGTTGAATTGAATTGAACCAGCCCTGAATTTTGTTACGTACTCCAGCTATACAGTTGGTATTCTGATGACGGCTGAAAATACATTTTATACTTTATGATAGACATTTCAAGTGTGATGTGTCAGTGCTTGTTATTTATAAATAAGGAATTTCAGGCTTGGAAGACATTTTAGGATCTAAGTGCCAGTAGCTGAGTCAGTTGCACTCACAACTTCATGATCTTTTGCCTATCATCAGCTATAGGTAGCAATGCATAATTCTGTAGTACCAATACCACTGTACTCGGGGGTGTTTATTTTAGCAAGAACCAGCATGTTTTAAAAACGCCTTAAAAACAAGACAGATTTTTGTAGTTGTGACTTTTGTTCTCTTTATAAAAATTCCTTTTTATTTGGCTTTCAGCCCTTTGGCATAGTACTTCCTATTTTTAATCCCATTTCCAGTGACAATAACGCATTTCTTGGAAGCAGAGTTTTACCAATGGTATGACTTGCATTTTCTCCCTTTCTCCATAGACATGAATCTTACAAAACACAATATAGAGCAATGTTTGTGATGAACTGCATTGTTAACAAAGAGGAAATTCTGAAATACAGAAAGAAGGTAAAGAAAAGAAGTAAGAAAATGAAGCACAGCAAAGAAACTGCCTCTATGCAATCAAATCAAGAGGAGGAGGAAGTGTATCATCCAGTATTATGTACTGAATGCTCAACTGAAGTGGCAGTAATGGATAAAGATGAAGTTTTTCACTTCTTCAATGTTCTAGCCAGCCACTGCTAATGTACAAAAGCAGGCGAAAAAAATCCTGCACTGTTTTTTAAGACTGTGTGAAGTGTCAGAAATGCAGGCATGTTAGCCTTTTTTAAATAAGGTCTTTTAAATACTCATTTCCATCAAAGAACTTCACAACGGTTGGATTTTTGCAAAGTTTATGAAGGGAATACAGTTAACTGTGCATTTGAGAGCAATATTCTTTCACACTGTCAAGTGGTTGCATCGAGGATTTAAAATTTTGTAAATATAATGTAAGATCTGTGTATTATGATCATTCCCTGTATATATACTATCCATTATCTCAATATGTGTTAGAACTACTGCTTAGAATAAATACTGTGTAGTAACTGGTTCTCCATAGCTGCTTTGGTCATTTCTATGGCATGCGGTAAACAACTCACAGTTGGGATGTTGGGCTGCTTTAGGCTGGTATTCTCGATAGATTTGCACGCAGGTAGGTTTGATAAAGAAGGAATTGTTGTTATATATATTTGGATTTTTGGCCCACTAAGATCTCAAAGATGGAACTTTTATTTATACAGAGTGGAAGATTAGCTTCTATCGAGTTTGCTGGCATGGATCATTTAAATCACCATATTAATGCTTAGTAATACAGTTAAGAGTTTTAAATGTAAATATGTATATGAAGAAAATACTGGACTTTTTTTCTATTGTCCTTTTTCCTTACGATGACACATTTTAAGAAGAAATCTATGGTCATATCTATGACCACAGAGCTAGTTTGTATGCTTTTTCTGTTTCTTTAGTAAATTTACAGCTTCTTCATGGAAGCATAAAGAGCTTCTGCTGCTTGATATTTAGACTTCTTGCTTAGTCTATGAAGCCACTGCAGTGTTAACAATAGATCCTTCCCTCTCTTCCTCCAGACATGCTCCCAAGAGGTGAAATCTTGTTTTGTATTAGTAAGTAACATCTCCTCTTTATAGCCTGATGTTTTGTAACACTTCACTTTGAACAAGGGTCTGAAAAAAATCTCATCTTTATGCTTTTTCTTTTAATAGTCCTAGGAATAATTTGTTATGTGTGCTTTGAGGAATTGTCAAAAATACTTAAACTTAGGAGGTAGAAGCCTGAAGAACATACTTCTTTTGTGCCTCAGATCATAATAAACTCTTGTGACTCCTTGGTTACCTTTTGCTGTATTTTACTAATTACACATACTCATTCTACACAGAGTTACATGAGAGCAGGAAGAAAAAAATACGTTGGTTCTTGTGTCAGGATTACATGAGGAGCACACTGACTTACTGTTTCCAAGTCAGCAGAAACTGAACCTCTGCTTGATGAAGTAGAGAACTGTTGAGGCCACTGCTGAACAGTCGGTTGGCTAGTGTGGTACACCTTCCTCTGCACTTGAAGCACACAATCAAAATGGAGCCGTACTTGTTTTGAGGCTTTGGGTCTGCCTGAAATTAGATCTCAATCTCGTCTTTGCTACCGACTGTCAGACTGGTTAGTGGAGTGTCTGACTTGCACATTGGTAGCTATGGGATCACCTCAGGTGGGATAACTTGTTACTGTGCGCCGTAAGCCAGGAGGTGTACACAGACAATTTTGAACGTACGAAGAACTGCTGCTTTGTAGAAGTGTGGAGGAGCAGACATGATAGAGGGTATAGTCTGTGCTGTCGAGCATGCTGGCCTGGATGTAGCTGTCTTCACATTCCAGGTGAAGCATGGAGGCTCTGTGTATTGGAGGTTAAGGGTCTTTGCCCTGAGCTACTGGAAACATGAGCACGCAGGAATGTAGTTCAAAGGCTCAGGTGTCGGTGTGGGTGGTAGCAGGAGGAACAATAGGTAACGGCAGTCCCTAAGCAGGGGTAGAATGGAGCTGGTGAAGGAGGGGAAACTCTATACAGAGCAATATTGTCAATTTTCTTAAGGGGCTAACTAGCAACAGAACTGCCTCATGAGTATGCACCATACTGAAAAGGTGTAAGGGGCCTATACACCACCTGGTGGGTTAGGGCAGATGGAGATTTTGAAGCTGGCATGCCTCTAGACATTGCCTTTCCTCTCATCCCAGGTACGTCCTTGCTGCTGCTTCTTGCTTGCCTTATCACTTGAATTGCAGAGCTTCTTGTTAAGAAGCATGGAAGTGGGCAGGCCTGGGACATGTTTGCCCCATATTGATAATGTTCTTGCAGCTTTGCATGGGAGTAATGCTTTAGTTGCACTGAGTACCCCACCTGCCCTTGAACTTTGTACGTGTTTATATAGAAAGGAGGTTTTCGTGATTACCACCGCTTTTTCAAGCAGCAACACCGACACAGGACTCCTCCAGCAGCAATTGCCACAAGCAACCCTGGTCTTGGGTAGGGACAACAGCTGCTGTAGCCAGTTCTGTGGGGGTATTAATTGTGTGAATGCTGTCATTTCTTCTTGTACTGAAATAAATCCACATAGATAAAGCGTGTCTAAATGTCTTCTGGTTGAATTAAATCCCTTTTCAGATGCTGCCACACAAACCAGCAGAGTCTTCAGTTGTCTCTGCGAGCTGGTTTTCTTTTTCACAGTTACGTCCTGGTACTGTAGTTGTATTTTACATCTGTGTAAATAATTCAGATGTGCATCCTCCTGTGACTGTGTTTCCTCGTTTTTCATTGTACTAATAGCACAGGTGAAGGTAGGGGTGGGGTGGCAGCAAGAACAGAATCACACCGCGCAGTGACATCATCGCAAACTGATTCACTAAGCAGGGTGAGCATAGTGGGTCAATACCAGTTTCTAATCAACGGCGTGCATGCTTGGCATGTGAGGTCTCCTGGCTGGTGGCCTGGCCCCAGTGCCTAGTGCTGGCACCTCATGCTCTGCTCAGTCATGGTGCCTGATGATTGCGTGCATCCCCTTCCAGTGGGCTTTCAACTAGCGCCTTCTAAACTGCCAACAGCCCTTCTAATCGTGCAGTCCCAGGCCAATCTCTGGGAATTTCTCCTTATCTGAGGCCAATTAGCAGCCAGGGCAGGGGTGTCCCCCACCCGCTGGTTTCTGGTGCCAAGTGCCTTAGGGAAGTGCAAAGTCAGCAACAGTTGCAGTAACCAGTTGATCTATTGCCTCTTTATTTTTCCAATTTGTATGGGATTAACCCAGTCGGAGTTGGTGGCTGTTACGGCCTCTATCTGGGCCGTGGTTTTGGGTGGGCTTTCCCTCTACCAACCACAGACCCTGAAGGCTCCCGCAGCGTGTTTTCACCACGCTTCCCGTGGGTCAGTCTTCGCGCCTTCTGTAATTCCCAAAACATCAATTTAGATTACACAGGATGAGAGGAAAACAGGCTGTGGCACCATCCCCTAGGTATGGCTGGGGCCGGTGGTTTACTCCCGCTTCACAGTCAGCCACCGAATTTCATCTACTGGGACGCAATCCGTCGGGCAGGGCTGGACTGTACCGCCCCGCAGGGTACCAGAGGCGGGGGAGGGTGGAAGGGGCCGCCGTGTGCC